TATATAAAATTTGATTAAAATTAATATTAAAATATATATAATAAATAATTTAATTATTAAACTTTAAGATTTAACTTTGAAATAACTATTAATTTAATTTTATAAAATTTAAAATATATTTTTATCAAATTTATAGCAATATGCTTATATAATTTGAAGTTCTAATATAGCAAACTAATAAAAATAATACTAAAATATATCTTTGAAATTAAAATAATTTTTTATTTTATTTTTTTAAAAAAGTATTGCATTATTATTCTTAAATAAAAGTATAAAAGAATAATATAAATATTATAAATAGTTAGTTTAAATTATTCTTTATTTAATATAAAAAAATTGTAAAAATTAATTAAATTTTTATTAGAAGCAATTATTAATTTTTATTTTGAGATATGAATCTTTTTATACTGGATTATAATCAGTATTCAAATCATATCTTATAATAATAGATAATAAATTAAACAAGATAAGTTAAGTTTAAAGTTTTGATATGAATTCTGAATCATGTATTATAAATATTTAGATTTAAAAGAAAAGATAATAATAATAGTTGCTCTTATTGCTTTTAATACTTTATAAAGATAAATAGTATTTAATTATAATTTGTTGAGAGCTTCACAATAAGAAGAAGTAAAAATATAATCATATTTAAAAATAGTACAATAATTGTTGTAATATAATGACAAATAAAGTATTATTTAGTTGCAACTTATAAAATTTTGAAGTTGCAATATATTATAACAGATAACAAATAAATATTATGTACTTGTTATGCCATCTCTAATTATATTATTAATTGCTAATAATTGTTACTTAGCAGAATTAATATTATATTTGATAAAAAATAAAGTTTATTTAAACTGTTAGTTAAAAATTGATTTAATTTTTTATTATTAAATTATTAGTTAAAAATCAAAAAATAATTTATATATAATAACTAAGTTCTTAAAAAATAATATATATGTTAAATTAAATATATATTTAATTAAATTAATAAAATTATTATTTTAAATATTTATTCTTAAAGCTTAAAATGATTTTATTAAATTTTTAAAGCAATAACAATAAGAATTTTAATAAATATTACATGAACAAGTCAAAATAATATATATATTTGTTCTTATATCTCTTAAAATTTTTCAATAAAATATAAATATATAGTATTATTAAAATATTTAACTATTGTTATTGCTTACTTTAATATAAGTTTAAATTCATTAGATTTTTTAAATATTTCTCTTATAACAAGATTATATTAATAAGTAAAATAGAGAAAAAAATAATTATTGAATATTATAATCATAATTAGTAGTTAAAATTAATTATATTTTTACAAATTAATTTTAATAACAGCTTAAAAATTGTAACTAAATATAAATTAGTTATATATTAAAATTGATTTTAAATAATAAACTGATTATATTAATTTAGTTTCTATTAATTAATCAATTATATTATTTTTTTACATTTTTTCAAAATACAAAATTATATTCTTATTATTACTAATTATTATTTATAACTGATTATATTAAAATTGATTAATCACTTGTAACTAGTTATATTAAAACTAATTAATTATTTATAATCAATTATAATAAAACTGATTATAAATTAAAATTGATTAAATCTAATTATAAATTTAATTCTAATAATTAATTATAACTAAGAATACTTATTTAAACCCTTTTAGAAAATATTATTATAATTTTAATAAGTTACATACTAATTATTAATTAGAATTTTAGCATAATTTTGGTTACAATAGGTTTCAAAACTCATTAAAATTTCAGCAGATTATTTACTAATAGTTTATTATAATTTTAACAGAATTTCAGCAGTCACTAAGAAATTTTGATAAGCAATTTTAGTTATAATTTTTAATTATAATCAATATCTATTTGAAAAGATAATTAGTCTTTATATTTTATATTTTCATAATTATACGTTTAATTTTAGAAATAGTATTAATCATTTATTTCTGTTTTGAGCTTATATTAATTATCTTCCAAATTAAAATTTCTTCAATTAATAAAATAAATAAAATATTTTTTTATCTATTAAATACTAAGATAATTTCAATACTATTTTTGTTCATATAATATAATTAAATTGATCTTTCAATATTAAAAATATAATTAAATAAAATATATAACTAAAAAAAATGAGACTTGAATTAAAAACTCAAAAAATTTCTAAGTTATTAAATTTTCTATTCATTGAAAAATTTATTTATTATTCAAAATAATAATTACTTAAATTTTGATTTTTTTATAATAATATTTCTAATAATAAAATTAATTATAGAATTTAATAATTTTTTAGAAGATAATATAAAAGCAAGTAATAAAAAAAATATTAAAAGTTATATTACTTGTATTATTTATTAATAAAAATTAATTAATTATATATATATATTCTAATATAAAATGATAATTTCTAAATTATTTATTAGATATATCAGTATCATGATATTTTTGTGAAGACTGATCTTGAAAACATGTTTTGCTTTATTATTTATTTTCAATTTGATATAAAAATACTTATATTTTTTAGATAATTTCAAATAATATTTTTTATTGGCAATTAAATCTTTTAAAGCTTTTTTTTAGTCAATAATTTTATTATAAGCTTTGTATATACTATATTTATTGTATTTATTTATAACTTTTACACCATGTATAATAATATTATTTGTAAATCTATATTTTTTGAAATTATTTATATATTATCAAGTTATTTTTATATATAAAAAAAACTGATTGAAAGAGTTCAATAACAATTTATTATTGAACATTAATATATTTGTTATACAATTCCAATTCTAATAATACTTACTGAATTATTTAATTATATATTACTAAAAGTCACTAAATATTACTAATATTACTAGATTTTCATTCAATAACAAAAAAATTAAATGGAAGTATTTAGTAATAACTTATTACTGAAATTGTTATATTACATAACTTCATCCAGTTAATTCCAGTAATGTTTCAGTTTTAACCATTTTTATTGGATCAGTTTAGTAATAACACTAAATTATACAAGATTAATTATAAAAGAATTATTCTATATAGATTATTATAAAAAGATATTCATGTAGGAATTAAGAATTAAAATTATAAAATTGAAGAATTTTAGTAATATTAGCAAAGCAGATATAGAATATTAACATTTTGTATTAGAAATTTCTAATTTTTTAACTTCTTGATATTGTGAAAAAATTAATTTTAAATTGTGTTCCATAACTTGTATTTAGAAAACTCAGCCATAACATTATTATAACTCAAAATAGCTGATTATAAAGCAAGCAAGTGAGATAATCACATGATCAAAAAGCCAATACATATATGAATAACTATTATTTTAATACTTTCAATTCTTATAGCATTGATATATTTGTTTTACAAATAATAACTTGATTTCTTATTTTTTTTTTAACTTGTTTTATTAATCCTGAACATAAAAATCATTTCGCAATAAATGATATAACACTAGTAAAAGCAAAAAATCTGGATATTGAAAGATATCCAAAATGCCAATTGAATTGGATCATTTCAGATATTATCTCATTTTTTTTGAATTGATAACTTTTTGGAAAGCGATATCTTGTTACCTAGTGGTCCAATTCGGATAGAAATACCACCATTTGATTTGTCTAGTCAAGACGAATTGAATGGTATATAGTACATGTATTATCATCCGAATCGGGACAATCCGGGAACAATCCGATCCGTTATGTTTTGTTTCGGATTTTTTCGGGTCATGTCGGATTGGGTCTTATCCGACCCGATCCGAAGAATTAGGAGTGCTTCGGTTTAACGCTAATGGTTAGTTAAAGATCTAAATACATGTATACAACGCTCAAATTGATTAATCGAATCATTGGAAGCCAATTATATATCAGAGAAATTAAATCCACGTTCTTATTCTCAGCCATAACCAAATTATATAACGAACACCCCCACAAAGTTATCAAGCTGATGGATGATTACAAAGGTAATCCATTAAGGATTTTATTTGGCAGAATTTTAAGTAATAACAGTTATTCAAATTTAATTAATATGTTATTGATATCTCATGGCACCGCCCAAAATATCGCACTAGCTCTTTACACTCGCAACAGATTATAAAAATGTACAAATGAAGATAAAGAATAAAATAAAATGTGAGAATAAAACCCACCCGACTCCAATAGTCTTTTCCCCGTTTCCGATTCTTTTGTTGGCTCCTCTTTTTTATGATGTATATGTATAAATAAAAAATTATATCTCTAAGCTAAACTGCTAGGCTTGTTTCAAATTCACCTTCCGTTCATTCGTTTCTGTCTGTTTTTTTTTGTCGTTTTATAAAAATATAAAATATCATCGGATGAATATAATATCACCGGATGAATATATTTCTAGGTGTATGTGTATATAATGTATTTATAGAGTTTTTTGTATGTATAATAAATTTTTTTGATATGTTTGTGAATGAATGCGTGTGTGTCATGTGCAGGTGTGTGATGTGTGTGGATGTGATGTGATGTGTGGGGGTGTGTTTGTAATTGGAGAATGGGAAAAGAATGTGTTTGCTAATGAACGATTAAATTAAGTAATTGCTAGAATATTAGGATTAAAGAAAGAATGATTGTGGTGAGTGATTAATAAATGAATGTTGTCGAAATGATGTTTTGTGTTAGGAGAAATGGTTTGTGATCTAAATGATTGGGATGGTTGAGCGGAAGGGGATGGAACGGAGGAAGAGAGGTAGAGAAGGAGGAAAGGAAAAATAATGCAGATAGTATATGTGTGTCTACAATATATATTAAAAGATATGATAATGTCCCAGAATAAAGTCTTGGAAAGAATATATATATATGACTTTCAATAAACTAACAAACAATAGGTAATATACGCGAAATCAATGAAAAAATGAATACATTTTTCATATTTCCTGTTCCTTTCTTTCATCGATTCGAATGAGAAAACGGAATTCATCGGTTTCCTTATTCTTACTTATTGAACAAGAGTATCAGTTGGCATTGGTGGGGCGTCACTTGCCCAGAAAGCTGTAATAGTGGATATTTCTAGAGCAAAAGATAAAAGAAAATGTGTTGGTGATATGGAGTCGATGAAAACGAGCAAAAGCAGTAATATTATTTAAAAAGATAAGCCACTACTTACCATCATCTGTTATATAAATACTCATCATTTGCTCTAATTGGACGACAAAAAAGAGACAATTAAAAATTGAGGATCGATCAAAAATCAAAACAAAAATCCTCCCTAACTCTTTAACTTACTTCGAACAGCAGGCGGAGCACTAGCTGCCAATTTAGCCATTTGTTGTGCTATAGAAACGTTTATATTAACAAAGTCAATCTTGAATCCAATTCAATAATGTAATATAGGATAATCAAATACCTTGTTCAGCTGGCATCTTCTGGTGGAAAAATTCACTATAAATATCATTTGGTAAACCAAGGTAGTTGCTTTTTCGATCTATAAAGGATAAACATTTCTCGTAAATAATAGACCAAAAATAACACGCTTTCAAAAAAAAAATCAAAATCAAAACAGATTCTTACCATCTGGAGTTATAGCTTCTTTAATTGAATTGTGTACGGGGAAAAAACCAAGACGTGAAATAAATAAAAAATAATTCAAATTAAAAAAAGATGTCCTCAGAAATAAAATAAATTCATTTATCATTACCATAAACTTGATTCGATCGTGGCATAAGGACAGAAGAAACAGGTTTTCTACCATGCAATCTCAAATTCGGGAATTCTAACGATCGACTATGATACACAGCCTCTGGATGGACACGATCATTTGTAGGGTTCAGTGATCTTGTCGCGCTACCTTTTTTCACTTCATCAACACGATCATTCACCAACCATCGGAAAATAAATTGTAGTACTTCTTGTGCATCAGGTCGATTACGAGGATTAGCTTCCCAGCATTTGGTCATTAGTTCTTCCCAGAATGGTGGTGTGCCAGCGATAATTGGAGGTCGAGCACCTTCATAAATATCTTTGGCGAGATAATAATCATGTGCACGGCCAGAATATGGTCTTATCCCAGATGATATTTCCCACATGATCATGGCAAAACTATAAACATCCGATTTTTGAGTGTGCTCATGTCCGGCTAATACTTCAGGTGCGACATATGGTAACACACCATAAGTTACACCTGCGCGACGTGCTACTCGATTCGATGGACCTGTTGTACCTAGATCACTAATCACGAATCGTTGACCATCAAGGTTCATTATATTACCCGGATGAATATCTCCGTGTATTAAACCTCGTTTATGTATTTCGGCCATGCTCCGTGCAATCATTTTAACAATTTGAACTTTGTCTTTCCATCCTGCTAATCTGTTTCGTTGAAGATAGATTAGGAGGTTACCATATACTACGTATTGCATGACTAGCATGAATTCACCACTCTCCGGTAATTGTGTTATTCCGTGAATACGTAAACATTCTGATTGGGTATAGTGTCCCCAATGTCGTTTTAACTATTAATGGCACATTAATCATTATTATTTTAAAGTAATTATATCTCCAATAAAAAAACAAACAGTGTGTCCTTACATGATCTAAAAAGTCTTGACTGATATCACCTGAATCGCTAAGCGATTTAAGAGCGATACGTTGACCGGTCTTTAACCATGTTGCTTGATAGATAGAAGAGTATCCACCACGAGCAACAAAACGATGCCCTTCAAATTCATCAAAAGGTATCCAGCTCATATGTTGTTCCTGACCAGGATACTGTATTCGAATATCTGCTATTAGTGTGTCAATTGGCTTGTAACCCGATCTCCAATCTCGTCGGCCTTAAATAACAACAATGATGATTAAATGATCAATAATAGCAAACAAACAAGTCTGCTTACATACCTGAAACAGGGCGTGACACTATAGGTTTTTCACTTCGTTGTGACCGCTGTACAGAATTCGAATTCGAATTCGTTCGTGAACAAGAGGAATCGAAATTCACGGATAATGTGGCATTTGCATAGGGATCAAAGTTCGCGGGAGCTTCTTGGTATAATTCACGTGACTTGATATCATTTGGAGTAGCAGTAGTGTTAGTTTGATGAATATCCAATTTGGCAATAGTATATTGAGCATTAAATGGAGCAGCGACCGGCGCAGCACCATGTGTGATAGCAGTATGTGCTGGTGGCGGATGTGTTGGTGTTATTGTCCCGGTTATTTGTGTTGTGTATGTAGCGGTATAGGTAGTAGAAAATTGAGCAGTCGCCGGGAATGCTGCTGGATCCACATAATGATTAGCTTCATTTATGGTGGTGGTCATTGCTGTAGTAGTAGTTGGCTGCAATTGCATTTGTTGTTGCTGTTGCTGCTGTTGCTGCTGCTGTTGCTGCTGTTGCTGCTGCTGCTGCTGCTGCTGCTGTGATGCTGCCCGTCTTGTTCGTCCTTGTGGAGATCGATGTCGTGGATTGTAACTTACCACTTCTGATTTTCTAGCGAATAATTTTCGAAATAACTTTTTCAGATTCCCCATTATGATTGTCAATCAATCGATCAGTTATTTACTTAATTATACGGAATAACTGGACTTTTTACTGTTAACGTGACCAGATAATAAAATTAATAAAAAAACATCTTGAAGTAAATGCCACACAAGTAAACAACTTTATGAATACAAACAATAATGACTCTTTGTTTTTAGTTTCGGTCCTCGAAATTTTTATATTCTAACCGAACAATCTACGAGCGTACTGGCGCTGTGTCAATAAGAATGACGTAGAAAAAACTATAAATAATAATAATCGAAAAGAAAATTTATTTGCCGCGATGTTGGATGGAGGTTTTTCGTCGTCGTGGTAGTTAATAAGATTAACTTGAAAAGTTGAAAGATGAAAGATGAAATGACTCGGGAAAATCGGACTACTATTTAAGTAGTTTGTTTGGACGATGATGTGATGATGACGGGAAAAATGGGTTAGTGTGTGTGAGTCAAGTTTTTTACGGTTAGTCTGTCGAGCCGGGATGGAAAACAGATATCAATTATTTAGTGGGGGGATAAGTAAAAGTGGGGCAACAGGTGCAAAGAAGAAAAAAAGGAAAAAAGGAAAAAGAAAAAGAAAAAAGAAGAGAAAAACTAACATTCATCGTGGAGCGAATGATTTATTTGGCTTGCTATTATAAAATATATTATCATTCTTTCGCGCATATACGTACATGCATACACACATACATTCAACAGGTTTTACATATACTATTGGTAAAACATACACACACATATAAGTGGTTAGTCACATCTTTTTCATAATAATCCGTGATACGTACCAACTTCCCAAATACGATAACTGGTTGCAACGTTTTCTCGAATCGTGATTTTGCATGGTATCGTTTCTGTTGTTTTTATCGCTGTATTCCAGTTGATGTAAATGTTGCGTCCCTCCAGTCACCTTGACTTCAAACTGAACTATGAAAGTTTACAAGTTCGGTGATTCAATGGCGCAGTTTTTTCCATAAGTCCAATGGTTTAATGGTGCAGTTTTTTACAAGTCCAGTTGCCATCACTGATAAAAAATAGACGATATACAGAACTCTTTTCCATTATCGTTATATCAATCAAATAATCATTCAGGATCTTCAAAAAACCAGCCTAAGCCAAAATTTCGGCCCACTAGTGATTTTTGTTGCATAAATTTTACTTAACAACAAAGTTTCAGCCAGATCTAGGAACGATAATGATAGGAAATCCATCGCTATTGAAGAAATAAAAACACGCATACAATAATATATCTATACATGCATATGCATTGCAGCCTTCGTATTATGCAGGGTGACAATGACTCTAGTTTAGGATTGGTGTGTATATATAATTGTAGACATTGGTGTAAAATGAAATGTGTATATCGATATCTTTCGATTATGATCGATTTATTTGATTGCGCTGCTCCGTGTGACCGTTACAAATGCAGAAAATTTCTGCTCAGATCTATATATAATGATAAAGTTGATTTTCGTTCCAGTTACTTCATTTTCCAGAAGTTATTACATGTACATGTACTTGGCAAAACCTTAAAAAAAGGACTAGTCAATATTTCCATTTGTACATTGTTTTTTTTGGTTCATTCAATAGGGATCGCTCCCTGTTCCGGTCTTATATCGATCGGTATTCTTATAAAATATAAAGGCTTTTACCAGCGTAAGAATTTAATTAAAAGATTTTGAAGGATTGCTTATTATGTTTCAAACCCAGCATATTCGTCTCAATGATACGAATTCAACAAACCATAAATTGTTGAATTTGAATACGGGTTGCCGAGAAATCTGGTCAATTAATTGCTCATGGGATTCGGGACTTTACGGTAATTTAAACTTGAAAATAGGTAAATAAAAAACTGGTTGTTGTTTCCCAAGCGCAAGAAATAATTTGTTTTCTTTGTTTCAGGAGAAATATAAAAGGCATCTTTAATTGTTGTTCTTACAAGGTTAACTTTGTTTATTTGACGGAAATAGATATTTCTTTTTTTATTCGTTAGGTGAATTCTCGAATTTGTTCTATGAAGACCCATTTTTGTCAACTTCCAAATATAGAAATCTCGCTCATATATAGTAATCGATTCTCAATCTTTAGCCAATGAAAATGAAGGATGGGTTTCATTACACAAAATCCGCCATAATGAAAATACTCTGTCTATTTTTAATTGTTATATCAAAAAAGGAAAAGGCCAAATGAAGATAAGATAACGTTAACGCGCTAAACATATTTAATATAGGGTCGATTGAAATTAGGGATCTAGCCCCTAAATCATTCGATAAAAAATTTAATACAAGCATTTGTCAAAAATCATTATTTTATTTCTTCCATCGACTCCTAATACGTCTTAATCGGAAGCGTTATACACTCGGCGGAAGAAAGTCACCAGACACTTTATTAATTTATAAATAACAGTTAATATTAATATCTTGTAGGTTCACATTGATTTTCAATGTATGCCCGGATGCGTCGTGGCATACTCTCAATTAATTGCTTATAGGTCTCCCTAAGAATTGCTTCCCATTTCTCTTTCAATGCTGTATTAAAATTTGTTGGACGTGGATCCCGTTTTTAGACATCGTCCCAATCGGATTGAGATCTGATGATTGTGCGGGTCAATTGGGGAGCATTTTGATATATAGATCTTTACATCATTGGCCGTATGGACTGGTACATTGAAAAATAATGGCGACGATTTTTTTAATTGAAGTCCATATTCTAAAAATATGTATATATCAGCAAAATAGTTAAAAAATGAATAACCAAGACATGGTATAAAAAATTACGCGTTCCAAACTAAACAAACATTTAAGAAATCAAAATGAATATGTCATTTTTTTTTTTAACTTCAAGAGGCATTGTTGGCACATGCTGGCTTTAAGAAGTCATGTTTCCAAGGCAGAAAACCGGAAATTATCCTAATAATAAGCAAAACACAACAGTTTTCAATGGCGAGGTTGAAATTGGGTATTGGGTGAATGCTAGCAGTGGCAAGTTTAATAACGTAAGACGTAATGAAGGGATTATGACCTAAATGATCAAAATTATGCTTTTTTAGAATTCAAGACATTTTTGCATTTTAGCTAAGTGATTTAATCCTTTTCTAGAAATAACATATTTTTAACAGCTTTACAGATTCTAATCCTATGGAATCGCATAACGATGATAACAATAATTTGTGCCTTCTAAGCATATCGATATCATTACCATTCACTCGATTAGAGTTATTTATTGAATTGAAATTTATATAAATTTCAATATCAACGACTTTGAATTGCTTCTATTAACAAGAATATCTTATGCACCAACGCGAAACCTATGTATTTAAATAAAAATATTCGATTTGAATTTAATAAAATGAATACAAGCTCAAATTTTTCACTCCTAATTTCGAATTCAAGTAAAAATTTTGAAATTAAATTAGCTATTTCCATTAAACCACTTTACTATCTGCTTCAATCAACTAGAAATTGAATCAACACAATTGTTGGTTTCCCGTCTAATAATAACTCTATTTTCTTTGTTCTTTTCATAATTACTTTGGTGGTGTTATAACATTAAAAGGGAAAATCCATCATTGCATTCTATTATGAGTTGTTGTATACATAGCTTCATATCCTTCTTGAATCATGTAATGTTATATTGAGCACAGTGTTTTGGACGAAATTATTTTTGAAAAGCCTGGGAGGGTTTCGGAGATTTCGGATTAAGGTTTCGGAATAGTCTGATAGTTTCGCCCGAAGCATTAGAGTACTTAAGAAGTCACCCAAAGTTTGGTTTGTTTTATGTAAGCTTCTTTGCTTTAGGAATTTTACACTTACTGAAAAACATTGAGATCAAAATACGTACTGTACGTAGTCGAAAATAACAGATTTTCACTATTTTTTTATTTGAACTTTAATAAAACGATTCTAACTTTATTGATATACTTCGGAATATTATGCTATTTTCTGTCTTAATTCCTTTATTTGCTTTAATACGTTATATTAATTGAACTGTGCTAATTTTATGCTAAAATTTGAATCTTATTCTTCTATTCTTGGTCGAGATTACAGAATTATACATGTATTAATTTCCATCTAAAACAGAGCTCGCTTTATTTCAGTTTGAGAGATTTAGGGCTGCACATTAACGTTAACTTAAAAATTTGTATACTGATGTAATTGATTAATATCGCCATTGCATTTCTGTTTGTTAGAATGCAGAATAGGAATCAATCGGATGGTATACATCTATCTACATGTACATGTACGTAAATTTTCAATTCTTTGAATTACCAATCACAAAATAACTAACAAGATTAAAGAAACCAATAACAAAATCAATGCTATTTCCTAGAACCAACCATTATTATGGCAATGTGAACCTAATTTGGTTCCAAAAATAGTCACCTCGATAAAATAGAAGGTGGCTCAAGAACAATAGTATAAATGGATTTTTTCAATAAAACAATCTCGAAAACTTTTTGCCACATTGTTAATACATACTGTATAAGCGAAATCATTTTACATTAAATTACTTCAGGCTTAAAAGCTAGATTATTACTAAATTGATTTTGAGCATAATTTTGATTAAATGGAATCTGCGAAGGCTGAATATTTGGGCTATTGATATATGCCAAGTTGTTATCGTTATACATTGCTGGATTAACGTTTGCTAAGTTGTTATGCGTTGCTTGAGTAGGCAATCCAGTGTTGCTAATAACATTTGTTATTTGTTTTTTTCTTCGATTGCAGAATAAAAAGACTATGATACCTGCCAGTGAAACTACGAGAATCAATCCGACTGTGGAAAGAGCGATTATAAGTTTTTTCTCATTATTATTACCGGGCGATGCTGTAGAAATATTTGTAGAATTATTTATAGAATTATTTATAGAATTATTTGTAGAATTTGAGCCTTGTGGAGTTGATGAAGTGACAAATTCATCAACCCATGTATTCTGTGATAAATCCAAGACTTTAATATTTTTTCGATTGAGAATTCTAGTCGGAAAAAATCCTTAAAATTGAAAATTATTTAGTTTTTAAAATTATATGTAATTTAGGAATTTAATCAAATGATTACCTGGCGCAACCATATAATTGTTATATATGACGACCGTAAGGTAAATTGCCACATCGCCAATGCTATGTTTGTTTTTAGTTTCAAACACTGAAAACTCGAATGTTTGCAAGTTTAATCTAATCAAATAATCAGGCGGAATTCCTGATTGATTTTCTTTGAGCCACCATATAAGATTATACTTTGATTATTGGGCGCTGTTAACAGATGAGATTTATAAGAGTGAGTGATTCATATGATTATTATTACTCAATACTTTCTTACCTAGAACGGCTGAGTGAGAATAACGGCCACTTATATATGTATGGTTTGTCGCACTCTTGTAATTAATAGTAAATTATTATTCAATAATTGCAAATCTAATTTATTCAACGAAGTTCACTTACTTTTATAGTCCATGGATTATTTGTATTGAGAGTATCATATATCAAAATCTTTAAAAGAAAAATTCAAATATTGCATTTTGTTTATATCAAATCAAAAACAGAAATTTAAGTAATTGTTAATGTGATACCTCATGAATATCAACACATTCTCTACCGGCGTTCGCAAAAACGCCACCAATAAAATAAAATTTATCATCCTTAAAAGTCGCTGAACAAAGCGCTCTTGGTACAGGAACAAAAGAAGGAGAGATTCGGCTCCACATTGAGTCATGTGTATCAAATATGTACATGGCTTGGTCTGTGGCAGCAGGGGTATGTCCACCCCAGATATAAAGTTTTCCTTTGTCATCAAAAATCGAGCTAGCAAAGTAGCGTGCACCTGGTGAAATACCTCTGGAAATAACAGGTGAAATTGAAATCGAATAAGACGTTACATCAATTTCATATAATTCGTCTACGGGAATCCCCAAACTCCAATCGCTCCTATTGAACGGCTAATCATTATATAAATAGTTAAATATAAATATTCGTTGTGCACTTATACTTACAATTAATCCACCAAAAGCATATATTAACGAACGATTGTTTTTTTTAAGCGCACTAAAAGAAGCACGATTAAATGTCGGGGCATTGAATAGATTATCGATTCTGGTGAAAGCTGGTGTTGATGTGGTCCAATTTACAGAAAGATCTAAGGAAAAAGCATGGGTATTATTAATGCCAAAGTCATAACTATCAAAGAATATAATCTTGTTATCGATAAATGTTCCGAATTCTGGAGAAGTTAAGTCATTAGGCGGGTAGGGTGATTGAGCATTTATTATTGAAATAAAGAAAATAAAATATGAAGAAATTAATGAGAATAAAAACATGTTTTTATATTTATGGTTTAGTTTATCGTGAGCTAGCGAAAATATCAACGTCAAAACCAAAATTGAGATTTAAACATAGAACATGTAACGGTAACGGTAATACGTATTTGTGCAAACCCAACCCAAAAATGGATATTCCGGGTAGCATAAGCCAAAACAAATCCGACACAAGAAAATGAAAAAGCAAAAATAAAGGAAACTGATGCTTAAATCTAGCTTGGAATACTGATTAAAAATGTCAGGGAGGTGATTCTGCATATAATCTATCTCTATCTCTAACTCTAATCTAGCGCATAAACCATTAGAATGTATTTGTTATGTGTTTTGTATCACTTGCACAAATAATCCCCGTATTTATCGTTATTATCATTATCGTTATACATGTAATTTTTTCCACTAATCGTAATCGTGTGGGTAATATTTATCTTTACCACTATTTACAGTGTGTAACAAAAGTCTGTAAAATTAATTACATGTACATTGGGCATCCTTCACTACAAAACGCGCCAACTCTGTTAGCTTTTTCGGCATCCGTTCCTTTTGACTTTACTCCATAAGATTAGGTCGGGACTGTTGGACGACCAAACGATAACTTCGGGAAAGTCCTCTCGAAGGAATTTTTTGTGTGTTTGGATCGTATCCTGTACGTAAACTCCATTTTTTAACTTACGAATATTTTAATAGCTCTCTTTGGAATATTTGTTCACTGCTATTCTCTCGTCCTACAAATTTTAATTGAAAAAGTGCGCGCATCACTTAGTCAGCATCTCTGTTCATTTCTTCAAAACAGAAAGAGACTTAGTAACGGTAATCTCAAAAATACATGTGTTTAAGTCACACGAGCTAACTGGGTTTAAATTGGATCACATAAATTTTGTGAAAAACTAGAGAAAAAGAACACACTCAACGAAATACAGAAATGGGTTTTGCAAACCCTGTTTTTGTGAAAAATAGATAAGTGAACGGAAATAAGGAGCACCTTAAATATGTTTTTGTCACACGAGAAAAAGTTACAGTCAGCACGGAAAGTAATGGCGGAAGAATTTTTTCAAAAATAAAAAAAATTTATTTCCGAAATGTGATTAAGTAGGGCAACATGCCCACATAAAATATTAATATCGAGTATTTCCTCCTTCCTTGTCAATACAGGCTTGAACGCGGTCCGGC